TCAATCTTTTACTTTAAATTGACAAATAATAATTGCATATATTTCTGGGGTGCAATGTGATGTTTTGATAGATGTACACATTGCAGAATAATCATATCAAGCTGGTTAACATTCATTACCTCCCATACTTATTTTTTATAGAGAGGACATTTATAGAGAGAACATTATAGAGAGTTTATTTTTTAATTTGAATTATACAATATTATTAACTATGGTCACTTTGCTACTCGGTAGGTCTTGAACACTTATTCCTACAACTTGCTCGTATTTCAAAATAAGTGAAAAGGAGTCTGAAGTCTCTGAACACTGAAATGATAAATGTTGGAGAGGATGTAAATTCTAATTACCCTAAATGGATCATTACACATCCTCAGCATGCATCAAATTATCATATTGTCATCTAGAAATATATACAAGTATTATAGGTCAATAGGAATAAGAAGGCACACAGTAGCCAAATTATGGAACCAGCCTAGGTGTTCATCAATGGACAAATGAATAAAGAAAATAATATACACACACATACATACATATATATGATGGAGTTCATTCAGTCATAAAGAAAAAGGAAATTATGTAATTTTCAGTAAGATGGRTGGAACTTGAGACCATTATGTCAAGCAAAATAAGCCAAACTCAGAAGGTCAAGGGTACTATGTTTTCTCTCATATGTGGAAGCTGGAGAGGAAGAAGGAAAAGCAAAGTGGGTAGAATCTCATAAAAACCAAAGGGAGATGGATAGCGTGAGGAAAGGGACCAGGGGGAGAGAGGAGGGAAGAGAAAGGGGAAATACTGGGCAATGATATTGGTCAGATKATATTGTTATACTGTGTGCATGTATGAATATTTAACAATGAATCCTACCATTTTGTACACACTGTAATGCACCAAGTTAAAATGTGGGGTAAAAATCAAAAAGAATAAAAAAGTAAAAGCACGTTCACCAACAGCGACAAACAASCCCCACAAACCTCATTCCTCCCGAGTAGTGTTTGGTCTTTACCCCACACTGCCACCTACTGGTGAAACTAAGGAGCGGTACTTGAAGTTGCTTTGAGAGTTGTTAGGTCGCCGAGACAGGTCTAAACCTTCAGGATACCAAGAGTTGAGGCAAACCCAAAGAGATGTCAGCTAGTTACCTTTTTTTTTTTTTTTGGTGCCAGGGATTGAAGTCAGGGGCACTCAACTACTGGGCCACATCTCCAGCCCCATTTTGTRTTTTTTAAAATTTAGAGACAAGGTCTCACTGAGTTGCATAGTGTCTTGCTGTTGCTGAGGCTTTGAACTCCTGATCCTCCTGCCTCAGCCTCCGGAGCTACTGGGATTATAGGCGTGCAACCCTGCGCCTGGAAGCTAGTTATTTCTAATGTCTGTGGAGAGTGGTGACTTGAGCCATGGCTTCTGATTCCCTCCTGGCTGCGTCTGCCTGGAACTGCCTGAGCAAAGGTGAAGATCAGGATGGCCCAGTTGCTATGGTAACACTGGTCCAGAGAAGGATGCACATGAAGGCGCACAGCTGTATCACTGGGAACCTTGAGCTCAGGTACCAAGCCCTGTGGGTAGAGAATCCTGGGCRTAACAAGAGGACCTTGAAGTCTCACAAGCTTTGCCGCGTCCTTCAAATTGCCTGCTTTCCTGAAACTTTCCCATGAATAACCTTCTGGTGACAAAACCTATATAATAAACATGCTGAGCTAGCTCTGGGGTCAGTAACGCCTCATCAAGGCTTGGCTGTCCCACCGGGCCCCACCTTTTCCTCCATGTGAGTCTGTTTATCTTTTCTTCATCCCCCATTGCCCCTCCAGATTCAGAATTAATGGCGGGTGCTGATTGTGGCAAATGTCATCTTAAATTTATTATTCTATTCTTATTACACTTGAAAATTCCGGCCCAAAGATACTCAAGTTAATAAATTAAATTTAGTGACCAGTGCATGGAAATGGGAGTAYTTTCCACATGAAACGGTCTTCACAGGTACCCATGCATCCACGCACCCGACCTCCATCCATCCATCCATCCATCAACGCATTTAAGATAAGCTGCCTCAGTGCTCAGCGATTTCCTGTCAGCTCGATTCATTTTACTCAATATTTATTTTCTCACATTTAAAATGGGGTGGATAATGTATGAAATATGATATGTCAAGAGCTTTGTAATGTTGTGAACAACCAATAAAAAAAAAATAAAATGGGGTGGATCTTGCCTCCAGATACTCTTTCTTTTCACTGCCAGTTTATTGAGGTTTAGTTGAAGAAAATAAAACCTGTATATATTTAATATGTACAATTTGATATTTTGAAATAACCCTGAAAATCAAGCTAATTAACATATTTATCATCTCAAATAATTTTTTTTTKTGTGTGTGATGAAGACACTTAAGTTCTGCCTTAGCGAATTTCAAGCACACAATGCTCTGTGGTTAACTGCTGTGTGTAATCACTTCAGAACTCCCACATCTCACCCAGCTGAACCTTCATACCTTTGAGCTCCAGCTCCCTCTCTCCCCTCCATCTGGCCACTGGCAACAACCCTCTACTCTACTATTTATTTATTTTGGTACTGGGGATTGACCTCAGGGACACTCAGCTACTGAGCCACACCCCCAGCCCTTTCTATATCTTATTTAGAGACAGGATCTACTCAGTTGCTTGGGGGCTTGCTAAGTTGCTCATGAATGCGAGGCAAGCACCCTACCCCTGTGCTACATCCCCAGGCCCATCCAGTTTTAATCTAGAACAAATAAGGCCACAGTGAACATCCTCATGTGCTAACACACTCAGGAAAGACAGACACTGCGGAGTTCCAGGGTTTGTAAGGTTCCTGTGTCTCCCATCTCTCTGCCATAGCAGGCTTCCCTGCTGCTGCCGCCGTGCTCCTGAGGACACACCTGTGGTGAGCAAGGGGCCCCCAGATAGGGGGTCTTGAATCACTGTAGAGAATCGGATGTGACTGCATGCGTGCTTGCAGACGAGATGCTCTGCAGTCCTCGGTGGAGCTTGCCTGCAAACAGGATGTTCTACCAAGTGGGATAGGAGGACTCTGAGAAAAGAACATTACTTGCAAACAAGAATGTTTATCTCTTCTTAAAAAGGAACAGAGCTCAGAATGCTCCAGCCCAAGAGTAGATTAAGACATGATCAGCAAGTTACTTCTGATTAGTAAGTTACTTCTGCACACAATGTTTTGCAAGCTTATAGACCTGAGTCATTGCTGTTGGAATGCTGCCTTCTTTGTTGACAATACTATAAAAGGACTACTGTATTCAATAAAGGAGCTTCTTCTCTTCTTCTTCCTTGCTCATGCTGTCCTGTGTTTGAGTTATTTGCAACAGATCACTGTCTGGAGAGATCCAGGGGACAGTACATGTGGCCGTAGCTGTAGCTCACCAATTAGTCTACTGAGGGGCCATGACATTTCTTAGGCAGAAGACATGTGGGGCCACTGTTGGTGTCATCAGTGGGTGTTGGCATTGAGCCCTAGGAACACTGAGTGCTTCATGTACTTTGTGTGTATGTGGGGCACACCAAGAACCTCCTCATCCTCCTCTATTTCACACACACATAATCAACTTACTTTTAATTCACATGTCTTATGAGTCTCATTGATCCCATTTGTTTTAATTAGGAAAGAGAGGATTACTAAAGAATGATTGATATAAGGTTACTTTATCAAAAATATAATGATAGCAGCCAATATTTACTGAGCACTGTAAGTGCTTCACACACAGGTGCTATACCACCCAATCCTTAGTGAAATTCCATTATTGACCCAATTCCACTATATTTTTTAAAGGAAATAAGAAAATTTATTTTGAGTCAAGTATGAGTGACCATGGACCTGACACAGATTCAAGTTACCTTGAATAACAGGTTCCACTGTAGAAAAAAATTAGATGAACTTTTATGGTCCCAGAACAAAATAAAGTAATAATCAATGCATTTACCAATTACATGGGTGGGAGCCTCACCTGGTGGGCTACAGCAAGGTGGACTCTCTTGTATAGGTTCTAGGTGTTATGGCATTCTCAGCTTTACCACCCACACCATTATCAWTCCAGTTCAACAGTTTTAGACTGAACATGGAGAGAAGTTAGGTAGATTGTAAGTTGGTTAATAAGAACCAAACTCCAGGACTCCTAACCATTATACCATCATATCCTTGAAAAATATAAAGCAAAACCTGTCAGAAATACACCTGAATTTTCTTTTAATACTTATTTTAGTCAGCTTTTCCACTGCTGTGACTGAAAGACCTGAACAGAACTATTGTAGAGTAGGAAAAGTTTATTTTTGGGGCTCAGAGGTTTCAGAGGTCTTAGTCCATAGAAGGCCGGCTCCACTCCTCAGGCCTCCAGGTGAGGCAGAACATCATGGCAGAAAAGTGTGGCAGAGGGAAGCAGCTCACATGATGATCAGAAAGCAGAGAGAGATCTCCATTCACCAAATACAATATATATACTCCAAAGCCACACCCCAATGCTCCACCTCCTTCAGCCACACCCTACTAGCCTTCAGTTACCACTCAGTTAATCCCTATCAGGGGACTAATTTGTTGATTGGGTTAAGGCTCTCACAACCCAATAATTTATCTTCTGAACCTTCTTGCATTGTCTCACACGTGAACTTTTGGAGGACAACTCACATCTAAACCATAATATTCTAAAGTTCTTTTTTAATCAATCTGGAATTTATTTTTTTGAATGATGTGAAATAGGGAACTAATTTGGTTTAATCCTTTAGCCAACTGACCCAATGGCTTCCTTGTTTCAGTGATTTTGATATTTCCTCTAAGATGTGCTGGATACCCACATATGCCCAGTCTGCTTYGGACCTCTGTCTGTTCTGACCTCTGTCTATTCTTATGATAAGAACACACTTATGCCCCTAATCTCTTGCCATGGCTCAGATTGCATATTTTCAAGTGTCCTCAGATTGCATATTTTCCCCATGCCTGTTTTAAACTACACTACCCCTCCAACTCACAAGGATCCTCATCCTCCCCACTGGGCATTCCCTGAATCTTAATAGTCACTCTTAAGGACCCACCTTCAATCAACTTTTCTATGCCAGATTTCTTCATATTTACCTTCACTTCTTACCATTTTTTWAAAAAAATGCTAATGTAGCATAAACTTCAATGTGTTGAATTCATTTTATTGGAATTGAGCAACCTCATTTCCTTCTCTATAACTCCCCTCCACTCCTCATTTTGGAGCACGTTTGTACAAAGCAACATCTCACCTTTGTAACCCTGGCACCCAGCATAAAGCAATGAGCTGATGCTCTAGAGGTTATTTATTGAAAGAACACACACATAAGCTTCTTATATAAAAAATAATAGGGTACTGGTTTTCTGAGGAGGAAAGCTTAGGAATGGCGTTAGACACCCTATTGAAACTTTTCCTTCATAGCTACAAAACAAACATATTACCTTTTGTTACATATATATTTACATAACAAATATGTAATTTTTAAAAACAAGAGCCAGATCTCCCATGTATTGTCTTAGATCACATTTTTTACTAGTGAGAAAAGCAAGATGTAGAAGCAATTAAACATATACTCCTACTTTTAATACAAATCAGAAAATTTTTGTTAGAAACAAAAACTTAGGTACGGGTATGTTTTTATAGRGCGCCTGATTTAGCCAAAGGAGCAAAGCATTAGGTTAGGAGATAGAAACTTAAGTACTAAACATTCCTGCCCCGCCCCTATCCCCGCCCACCAGTCAAGCCCCGCCCCGAGCCACTCCTCAAGAGCAGACYCCGCCCTATCCCGGGCAGCCGGACCTAAGCCCCACCCAAGCCCCCCATCCCTCGGATGTAGGCCCGCCCCCAGCCCCGCCCTCCCGGCCRTGTCGGACCCTACTCTAGAGTTCTAACGTAACTCCCGTGGAAGGGAGTTGGAATTTCTCCTCCTCTGAGGAGACTGAGGAAGGCGTCAGCCTTTCCGCGGCCTCCTAAAGCGCCTCTGATTTCGAGAGCCGAAGTCCCGAGCACTTCCGTTCCCGGCTGCCCCGAGACCGGAAGCGGAACTGCGCGGCGGCGGCGGGCGGCTACGGCCGTGCGGGACTGCGCGGCGCRCGGCGGTGGGAGTGTCTCCGGCCGGTCTGCAGGTGCGGCCCGGCCCCTCGGGAGGGCGGGGCGGGAGGGGACTGTTTGGCTGACGCTGGGAGGGGCCGCAGGGCCAAGGACAGCCCCAGACCTGGCTGGAGGCGCTTTGCTAGGCGAGGGCCTGGGAGAGGCCCGCACTTCTCGGGCCTCGCCGCCCCTCGCCCCATAGCTCGCCCTGGTCTGCTCACGGTCTGGGCAGACAGGGTTGTCATTCTGTCCAAAAGGAATCCCATAGTGCAGTCCAGGTCTGGCAGCTCAGGAATGTGGTGACACCGTCCCTCTCTCCCTCCTGCCCTCCCTGATTTATAGGAAAAGCGCATTAAGAGGACCCTTCTCTGCCTCCCTTATGCAAGATAACTGTATATTGGTAATTCAGGTTTTATCTTATAAGACATTTAATCTGTCTAGCTTTGCAACTGCAATGTTAGGTCTGGTGTAGGTGTGCAAATTGGTTTGATTGAGCGACTTTATTTAAAAATTGAAGAGATGAACTAGATGACAAGGGATTTATTTTGGTGACTGTCAATTTGTGGTCCCTTAGCTTAATATGTGTTAGCTTCACTTCTCTTGTTTCTTCTTTTCTGTTCTTTTCAAGTGGGCTACAGTCCTTAGCCCAAACTTGTGAACTACAAATCTTCCAAACATATTGGACTCTGGAAACAAGATAAATTCTGTTAGTACCAGAAACTGAAACTGAGTTGGGATGTCTTTCTTGATAATGGAATTAAAACTAACTTCTACTGAGAAATGAGGAAAGATTAACTCTAGAGGAAAATTAAAGATCAGATTTCAGTTTTATCAATGAAGTATTTGCCAAGGAAATAAATGCCTCTCCTTACCTTTTTAGAAAGAATCATTGTTTTTTAAAGATACTTGAAATTTAGTGTTGTGATTTATTTTATATTTTAAACAGGCATTTAAAGTCATTCTCCTGTTTGGTTTTTAATATCTTGTTTTATGGGTTTGCATATGTGTTTGCGAGCATGTGTGGGCATAAGGCTTCTCAGACTTACTGTACTGAATCATTCTTTTTTTTTTTTTTTGAATCATTCTTGAGTAGTGTTGACTTTTGGAGCACATTTTCATTGGGGTTCCCTCAATGAATTGGCCCTGTAAAGAGGGAAATAATGTTGCGGTAATACATATAGCGCTTGTTCCCCTGAAGGTTTTATCCTAGAGAGGGCAGTTCCCTGAAGGTAATAGTAAATTTTGCACTGTGTTATAAGTCATAGGGAAGCCCCTGAATTCATTTATTTTTTTTAACCAGGGATTGAACCCAGGGCCACTTAACCACTGAGCCACATCACCAGCCCTTTTTATATTTTATTTAGAGACAGGGTCTTGTTGAATTGCGAAGTGCCTCGATAATCTCCTGAGGCTGGCTTTGAACTAGCAATCTTCCTGCTTTAGTCTCCTGAGCCACTGGGATTACAAGCCTGCTCCACCTTGCCTGGCTGAATCCAAGTTTTAAGGAGGGGAGTGACATAATTATGTTTGTGATTTAAACAAAAMATTGGCTCCTGGATTGAGTATGGATTTTGAGATGAACATGAATGAATACAGTTTATCTAGAAGCCTCAGTAATTTCAGAAGTTACAGGATGATAGAAAGGAGTTGATGACTGTAAAATCAGAAAGGTTGAGATATGTGTAGAAAGTAGGATTGAGAGAATTTGATAGATGATGTGTTTTTTTTTTTGTGTCACATGATCAGCAATCTATGGCCCATACATAGGTCAAATATGGTCCATTGCTGGCTTATACAAATAAAGTTTTATTGGAACCTATTTGTTGATGTGTTGTCCATGGCTCTTTTTGTGCTACAAGCATATAGTTAAGTAGATATGACAGAGATTACATAGCTCATAATTCCTAAGACAGTTGGTGCGTAGTCCTTTGCAAAAAGTTTGCAAACCCATAAACAGTACTTGGTACACATCATGCTCTGTGCTGGTGGCTGGGTGTGAAGTTTTGAAAAGAGTGGGCACAGGTCTATCTAGGCTTATTAGGTTTACATCACAGTTGGAGAGAGACAGGCAAAATCACCTAAAGAAATAAATTTGAAACCACAACTTGAAAAGAGCAGTGAAGGAAAAGTAGAGGCTGTTAGAGGTAACTAGAAGGCATGTAAGAGGAAACATGATTCCTTCATGAGATGAGAGGGCCAGTAGGAATCACCAGGGACTGTTGTCTGGAAGGTGGTCTAGGGCCCTACTCTTGCTTATCACGATAAATTCCCTGTAATGATTCTCAGCTTGGCTGCCTTGCTGGAGGCCCACACAGTGGGATCCCCCAGCTCAAGCCCTGCTTGGTGTTCTGCCTCTGCCACCCTCACACCCCACTTTTTTTCACCTTAGTATCTCTTTTATTGCAGAGAGGACATCTACTGAGATCTTGAACCCCGCTGCTGATGTCATGGTGAGGAGATTGGGGGAATCTGGATGCTTGAGATGGGGCTCATAACCATGTACTCTGGGCTCTATTTTCTCCCCATCCCAACTGAGGGAGAAAGGGGAGAGGGAGTGTGGAGCACCCTCATTCCTGCCCCAGAGGACCTGGGGACATTTTTTATGCATGACCTCTAGAGGGAACTGTTATGGGAKGAGGATCCCTCAACACACCCCAAGGCACTGTTTGCAGCATAGGGCTCCTCTAGGGCCATCTCTGTCATCCTTTGTGAGAATTACTGAGAATACATGTGGCTGTAGAAATCTAACTTGAAGTTAGTTAAGATTCAGTAAAAGTAAAGACCCAGTTTCTTAGTCACCGCAATGATATTCCTCAAGTGCTCTGCAGCTGCACATGCCATCTTGGACACTGCAGGCAGGCATCCCATGATCACAGAGGGCCCTGATGGACAGCACAGCTCTAGGGAATTTGGAGATCAAGGGGCCATGATGTTTCTCAGATGCAATAGAAGCCTATTTTAACAAGTATAAACGACTATTAAATTCTTACAGTATACCCCTTGTATCTGTAGACCACCCTCAGGTACAGGGAGTCTACAGGTCTGTATTTGTGGTTTCAGTTTCACTCATCAACAGGAGGAAGGGTGATTACAGTACATCAAGATATTTGGGGAGGGGGTGGAAATAGTCACATTTACATAACTTTTGAGGTATAGTGTAATGCCATGCTTGTTCTGTTATTGTTATTGTTSATCTTTCACTGTCCCTAATTTATAAATTAAGCTGTATCAGGGGTATGTACGCAAAAGAAAGAACATGTTTTATAGAGGTTTAGTGCTGTCTGTGGTGTTAGATCTCCATTGGGGGTCTTGGGGTGAATTCCCTGTATATTAGAGGGGTACTATACTCTAAGTATTGGGGGGCATCCTAGGACTTCACCCAAATTAAGAGGTCAAACCCAAATTTGTGATTCCATAAATAAGAAGGTTCAGGAAAAGCCCACAAAGCTGGGATGAACAGGTCCTGCCATCGCCAGTCAGCTGGGTTACCGGGAGAGCAGATTTACACTTGAGGGTTTGTGTAAATGTGAAAGGAAAGTAACCATCTCACCCTGGCGGGCCCTCAGTTCTGCCCCAGCAGCATGGAAGCTGTTGTAGTTGTGTCACAGAGGGTGTGTCTGTGTGTCCAAACGTGCCCTCCTCCGCCACCCAGAGTGATGGGAGGCCAGCTTTTCTGCCCCCAGGTGTAGAGAGAACTCCCTCTTGCATGTCCTTGCATGGGGGTTCACTTCCTCATCCTTCAGTGGTGGATGGTCTTTGCTGAACCCGAACGTGTGTGCTTTTTAAGGAGTCTGTCACCTTTGAGGATGTGGCCGTGGGGCTCTCCCAGGAGTGGGCATTGCTGGACGACGTGCGGAGGGACCTGTGCAGATATGTGTTACTGGACAACTACCAGACCTTGGCCTGCAGAGGTGAGGCTGGCATTGCGCCGTTTCTTGCTGCATGTGTGTGCCGGATACTTCCTCAGTGTTTGCCCTGTGGACGAGCATGGGTTAGGCTTATGGGGTTTATTGTCCACTGGAGTCCTGAGATCGACAAAGCCCCATTTATTGCATTACTTCATTCTGTCCCAAGGGAGGATGTCTGTGGGCCTCACTGAACTTGGCCCTGGACAAGGGTTAGGGAGCCTCTGCCTCTTGGGCCAGAGAAGAGGGGATTGTGATTTGGGTTACTATTAGGGCATTTTCTGTGCTGTCACAAAACATTGAAGGCTGGCTACTTTGTAAAGAAGAGGCATGTATTTAGCTTACACTTCTGGAGACTGAAAGTTCAAGATCTGGTGGCCCCATCAATTCAGCCTCTGATAGATGGCATCACTGTGGTAGAAGTGCCTGCAGATGCAATCACATGGCGAGACAGGGAGCCAGCGAGATTCAGGGCCAGGCTTGCTCTTTTTATAACCACCCCCTCTTATAGGATGGGAACTAATGGGCATCCTGTGAGAACTACTCACCTTCTCTAAGAGACCCAACGACCTACCTGCCTTTCACTGGGCTCCAATTTGTATGGTTCCCTGTCCTCCCAACAGCGCCACAGTGAAGACTGAGTGCAGCACATGAACCCTGCGCGGGTACCCCCAGACCATGTCCAACCCGCTGCAGGGTGCTGAGCAAAGAGCTCTGCTGAGGGCACTAACAGCTGGGCATGGTCACTCTGTTGCCCATCGTACTTGTCAGCCTCCCCACCTGAAGCCCATGTTGAAGCTGAGCCTGGGTGAATTTATTGCCCTCTGGAAGCTGCCAGCCCTCAGCCATGCACCTCTCTCTAGGCACAGGGACTCCACTGTGCCGGTCCCACCTGGCCTCCTTGGTGGGGACAGGAGCAGAGTCAAGGCAGTAGAATGAGGGGCTCTCCAGACCCCAGGTGGGGGTCAGTACCAGGCTGCAGAGCTGACCCACCTGGCTAGGGTGAGTGCCCTGGGAAGTGTCAGTCTGAGGGCAATTTTGAAGGCTCTTTGTTCCAAGGAGAATTATGAGAGGTTTTTCAAGTTCATTTAGCTTCTCTTTTGTTTTCACTTTCGAGCCCTTCTCTAATACTTTCCTTAGGTCTCAGAAAAGTATGTCCCAATTTCTCTTTCTTAAAAAATTGAGATATACTTCACATATAATAAAAATTTTTAGAATACATAATTCATTGACTTTTACTGTATTCATAAACTATCTAATTCTAGAACATTTTCATCACCCTAAAAAGAAACTTTGTCTCCATTAGCAATTACCACCTCCCCCCCACCAGCCCCTGGCAACCATTATCTACTTTCTATCTCTATGGATGTTCCTATTTTGGACATTTCATATAAATGAAATTATGTAATTCTGTATGTAGCGTTTGTTATCTGTCTTCTTTCATTTAGCATAGATTTAAAGATTCATCCATAATGTAGCAAGAATCAGAACTTTATTCCTTTTTAAGGCAGAATAATATTCCATTGTACAGATATGTTTGTTTTGTTTGTTCATGAATCAGTTGATGGGTACTTCCATTTTTTGGCTTGGCTTAGTCCATTTAATTTTGCTATGATATTTAATGCTGGGTAATATAAAAAGGAAAGAGGTTTATTTGGCTCACAGTCCTAGTGGAGGGAAGTTCAAAGATCATGGAAGTACAAAGAGCTGTATCCCGGCACTATGTGTCCTGGTGAGGGCCTCCTTAGCCACATCACAACATGGCAAAGTAGGAAGGGAAACCGCTGTGGGCAGAAGGGACAGGCATATAAGGTGGCCTTGCTTTATAACCATCTGCTCTGGAGATATCCAGTCTACTCCATAAGACCAGCAGTAATACATTCGTGAGGGTGGAGCCTCTATGACCTAAATATCTTCCTCTAGACCCCACCTCTTAAGGTTCTGCCCCCTCAACGTTGCCACACAAGTGACCAGATTGCAAGACCTGAACCCTGGGGACATTCAGAGCACATTCAAACTATGGCATGACTGTTACGCAAAATGCTGTGATGAGCGTTTCTGCCCCAGATGTTAGTTGTCTTGGGTCTGCACTCAGGAGTGGGATTGCTGGGTCATCTGGGAGGCCCACTTTGGGTGTTTGGAGGAGCTGTCCCACTGCTCTGCTTTCCCACTGTGGTTGTGGTGGTTCTGATGTCTCCCGTTCTTAGCCACCATTGTTGCTCAGTTCCTCTTTAAACTTAACACTTCCAAGTGTGTCCTTTTTTCTTCAAAACTGGAGATAAACCCAGGACCTTGTGTGTGCCAGGCAAGTGCTCTGCCACTSAGCTGTGCGCCCAGCACTGTGTGTGTTCTTGACTAGTTGCTTCTTACTTGGTTTTCTAGTAACACCCTTCTTTGGAAATATGTCGCAATTCTCATAGAATCTTCAACTGGGGAATCACCCTTCATTTCCCCCTCAGTCCGTTGATTGCTTGAGTTCCTCACACGGCCCTACTGGTGGATGCCTTTTTCTCTTTCAGTATCCTCCCAAGTTTAGGCTCAACATGAAAATATAAAAACCTACAAATATATACATATATGTTCTCTCTCTCTCTCTAGCCCTCTTTATCCAAGGATTCTGCATCTGCAAATTTAACGAACCATAAACACAAAATATTTGGAAAAAATTGCATCTGTACTGTGTACACACAGACCAATAGTACATACAGATGTACATGCAGACTTGTTTCTTGTCATTACTCCCTAGAGGAGAACAACTATTTATGTAGCATGTACATTCTATTGGGTGTTATGTTATTATATTTGGTACCAGGGATTGAGCCCAGGGGCACTCAACCACTGAACCACATCCCTAGGCTTTTTGTATTTGATTTAGAGACAGGGTCTCACTGAATTGCTTACTTAGGGCCTTGCTAAGTTGCTGAGGCTTTGAACTTGTGATTCTTCTGCCTCAGCCTCCTGAACTGCTGGGATTACAGCAGCCCCTTTGTGTGGGGAAGCCCTCAGTTAGTGCACCACCATGCCTGGCCCTATTGGGTATTATAAATTTTCTACACAAATAGTGCACCATTTTGTATAAGGGATTTGATTAACTTTAGATCTTGGTATCTAAGGGTAGACCTGGATACCAACCCTGTATAGATATGGCGTGTGTGTGTGTGTGTGTGTGTGTGTGTGTGTGTGTGTGTATGCATAGGTATATACAGGGTTGACTATATTTTTCCATTTATATCACCACTTCTTTCTGAAAGTATTTTTTTCCCAATTCATTTTAGACTGGGGGTCTCAATGCAAATCTAAAGAGTCAGCATCTCTGCAGGGTATTTTGGAAGACATATCACCCAGGGACACACAGATGGTAAGATTCCTGGATTATCTCTAGCTCCCTTTTGCAGCAAAGTTGAGGAATCTATGAACTGGAAAACCAGCACCAGAACCAGGGAGACATTTGAGGCAGGGGAATCTCCTCAAAGGGAAGCAGCATCAGAGGGGAGATATGACTTTTGAATTAGGGCAAATCCCTGCTGTCACTTAATGTTCTTTCTAGAAGTTTCTGTCAAGTGCACATTTCCATCAGTGAGTCAGACATTGAGTGTATAAGATGTGATTACTTCTTTCTTTTWAAAAAATTTTTATTCTTTTTGGTAATACATGGCAGGAGAATGTGTTTTGACATATTATACATATTATACATGGTATGATCTACTTCTCAACAATGATCAGGAAAATGTGGCCAGGTGTAGAAGCCCCCTGAAAACCATGAGCAGGAGAGAGCCCTTCGGTGGAGCAGACAAGATACTTGGTCGAAAAGAACTCAAGCCCTCTAAACCAGGCCTGTCTCGAAAATGCTGAAAATGTGCTCCCTACTGGGAGGATCCCCGGTTCTGTCTGGGGTGCTGGCAAACTCTTTGCTGTCACTCACCTCTTGCTGGGAGCAGCCTCCACCTAGAGAGAAGGGACCAGTGAGTTTAACCAGTGCAGAAGGGGATTCTGGGGGACATGTAACCTGGATTTGATGAGAGACCTGGCGAAGGAGAGGCCACCTTGATTTTAAGGAATGTTGGAAAGTCGTTGGGATCCTTTAGAATCCTTCCCGGAAGGTGCCCCTTTGTGTGGGGAAGCCCTCAGAACTGGCCTACACATTACTGTGCATAGGAAATGCAGAGAGTCCGCTTGTTCCCCACTTGGGCTCTGAGTTCCTTCTTCCTCACACGACAGGCCTCCCCACCCCCAAAGCCTGGGTTCCCAGTCTTGGGAGTTGGCAAGAATTGGGGTTGGGTTGGGGTAGAGTGGAGCCCAAAGCCTGGCCTCGCACCTCAGTAGTGTGCACTGCCTATAGGATGGAAGGGGCTTCTGCTGCGTCAGAGCCCCAACCCAAGCTGGGCCTGCTTGTCCCAGAGACAGTGAGGTACCCAGAATCCCTCAGTCTGCACCCCGTCTCTGCCATGGGTTAGTGTCTGCATCAGTGTCAGAGACGTCCATCCCCATGGACAGGGTGGGATGTCCTGGGATGTAGCGAACCATGCTCTCTTCCTTTGATGGGGAACCTTCTGGAGCATGGAGAATCCTCCATCCTGGGCAGCCTGGTATGGGCTGCCAAGCAGCTGAAACCCTTGCTCTTCTTGGCTGTGACAGGTCCCGGTAGTCGACACCCTTCCCTCCCTGCACCCTCTTTGTCCTTGGTTTCTACTTATTTTGGTTGAGAACATCTTCCAGYGGCTGCCTGGGACAGGTACATAGTTTTTGAAAACTTGAGACCCCAAAATGCCTTATTTGAGCYGCTGGATTGAAGGGACCTCTCTGGCTGTGTCATTGCAGTAAGCCCCATTACAGAGGTTCTGCATGTCATCAGAGTCCCCATTCGTGCTTGTTGTGTGAAGAAATGAGTGGACAGGTGCTGGGGAAAAACGGCCTGGGCTCCGTCACCACCTTGTCTGTGGTCAGTGGTGGAGCTGGAGAGTGAAGGAGGGAGAGGGAACCCTGACAGCTGGGGGCTCCTCTCTAGGTTCTGTGGATTTTGTCCTTTGAGCACAGAGTTCTAGCATCTTCCATGGATCTTTCTGCTTGGCCCAGCCCCACAAGATCCCCAGTACTGAGGGATGGGAGGGGCTTCTGCTGCATCAGAATCCCAGGAATAGGCGGTTTCAGGATGGTCTGAGAGGGCAGAGGAGGTCCACCCAGGGACACTGAGCAGTGCATCCTGGAGGTGTGCAGCCCATAGGTGGCAGAGTGGCTTTGGAGCTGGGAGTCAAGCCCAGGCCTAACAGCAGGACCGCAGCCTTCTTCACAGCCTGAGGCCACACAACTGCCACTGGCTGATGGTCCCTTTGACTGGTTCTTCTTGTCTCTTCTGGGCACCACCCAGCCTTCTCCCAGTCATCTGGCAGCTCTGTGGCCATGTCTCCTGGGGAAAAGTGCTTCTGGGCAGGGATAGAATCCTGGGGGAGGGAAGAGCAGCTGGACCCTGGGCCCTGTCTTGTCTGCTGTAGCCTTTCTTCCTGTGGCCTTTCTTCCACCCCATCCCCTACCCCTTCCAAGACCTGGTACCTGTAGGAATGTGTGGGTTCCATGGTCTGAGGTTGGTGAAGAGTGCTTGGCTCAGGTCCCTGCGTTTCCTTACTGCAGCAGAGTGAGCAGAGGAGAGGGACAYGGTAAGCCACATCCTGAGCACTGCCCCGAGCAAAGGTCTTCCTCCCACTTGCCCCTGCCTCACCACCTCTCTTCAGGTCCGTGCTACAAGGGCCTCCCATCTCCCAGCTGCCACCTTGTCCTGCCTGCTTTACTGACACAGTATAACCCACCTCCAGCGCTTCACTGCTGTCACCCTGCCTAGGGCCACCATCGCTTCTCCACTGAGGGACCACTCCCAGCAGGCTCCTAGACCCTCCCTTGGACACTGAGACCAGAGGGGTCTCTTAGAAATGCACGTTAGGCGGGACATCTTTCTTGCTCCCCTTGAGGGAGCAGCTGCCAGTAAAGAAGAGTTCAAATCCTTTCTCCCACACGTTCTATTTCACCATAACCAAATACTAGGCACTGGGTACTTTGTTAAAAAAAGTTTTTTATAGCTTACAGTTGAAGTGGCTGAAAGTCCAMAATTGGGTGGTCCCATCTGTTTGGCCTCTGGAGAGGGCCTTGTGGTAGATGGTGTCAAGGGGGAGATGTGTGCAAGTYGGGGAGATCACACAATGAAACAGACAACCAGAGAGAGATTCAGGGGTCACTCTTGCTCTTTTATGATGGTCCATTCTCTTGGGAACTAGCTGGGGACCCGTGAGAACTACATTAATCCCTTCCAGAGGCATCACCCCAGCGACCTAATTACCTTGCACTAAACCCTACCTCTTAGAGRTCCCAACATCACCACACCGAGGACTGAGCACCCACCCAGGAAGCTTTGGGGGACAAACTGCATCCAACCACAACACGTGTCAGGTCTTCCTTCCAGGAATAACTGCTAACTGCCCTCAGGTCCCCTGCACCCGCTCTCTGCCCCTCAACCTGCTGGCTGTTCACTGGAGCATTCGCTAGAGCCCCTTCTGTTCTAGTGTTTTCCTCCCTGCAGGAGGCTGCTTCCCTGAGGGGGGCATCTCTCTGCATATCATTTTGGCATGACATGTTATCACAGTGATTAGCTTTGTATTCAGAGTTAGGTGTATCTTGACAAGGTAAAGGGGTGTCTGCCKCTCTTGTCACACATTCCCTGGGGCAGGGCCAACCACACAAGATCAGTTAGGGTGAATGGGTGTGAGCAGTTCCCCCTGGCTGTGTGACTAATCTCTGACCCTGTCCCTCTGTCCAGGGACTGCAGGTGGCCTTGCAGACTCAGAGGGTGGTGACGCCGGTGCCCACGCTGGGTCTCCCCAACCCATGGGTGGCCAGGGCTTCTGGTGAGTGAGTGATGTGTGGTACATGTGGCTGCAGGGCCTCAGTGTTCTGTTTTGTCCCGGAGTTTGTGACCCATTCCACCTCCATTTCTTTTTCTTTCTTTTTTTTTTTTTTTTTTTTGAGAGAGAGAGAGAGAGAGAGAGGAGAGAGAGAGAGAGAGAGAGAGAGAGAGAGAGAGAGAGAATTTTAATATTTATTTTTCAGTTTTCAGCGGACACAACATCTTTGTTTGTATGTGGTGCTGAGGACTGAACCCAGGCAGCACACATGCCAGGCGAGCGCACTACCGCTTAAGCCACATCCCCAGCCCTCCACCTCCATTTCTTGAGTGTAGGCACTTCCATGGTCAGAGGAGAGACCGTGAAGCTGTCTCATTATCTGAGTGTTCCAGGGGGAGYTACTTGCTAAGATTGTGGGCTGGGACCCTTTGTTCTTTTTTCTGTAATGAGATAGCAGGAGCATAATTATGTGAGGCCAAGCATATATTAATCATGTTGATTTAGCCATTCCACAATTTATGCATGTTTCAAAACATCATTACACCATAAACACATATGATTTCTATTTCTCAGTTAAACAACATAACAACAAGAGCAATAACAATAATAACAATAACAATTTAAAATAAAAGAGAGGGCCCAGATCTGGGAAGCATAAAATTATTCTCCTTGTAACTTAAAAAGTAATATTTCTGAATAAGCAATTTATCAAGAGTAGTTTCAACACCATTAATTCTTTTTTTTTAAAGAAAGAGTGAGAGAGGAGAGAGAGAGAGAATTTTAATATTTATTTTTTAGTTCTCGGCGGACACAACATCTTTGTTTGTATGTGGTGCTGAGGATTGAACCCGGGCCGCACGCATACCAGGCAAGCGTGCTACCACTTGAGCCACATCCCCAGCCCACCATTAATTTTTGACTATACAATTTGTGCTAATTTTGAAAATTATGATTGAATTTACTAGAAATGATCTATATTTTAATGATCTGAGCTTTTAAAAAAGATTAAAAACCGCATCTTCTGAGAAATGAATAAAGTATATTAATTCAAGTAGACAAATAACATCTTAGCATTAATAGAAAGGTATTGGTTTCTTTTTGTCTGCCTACTAGTGAGAAAAATGAAGTTTGTTTCTTACCAGTATCATCCCATCTTGTTTGGACAGGGTATAATTCTGTGTTGCTCTTCAGTTTATCTGTGGTTAAGTCTTTTGGACAGGGTATAATTCTGTGTTGCTCTTCAGTTTATCTGTGGTTAAGTCTTTTGGGCTGGACTCTACCTCCTCCCCTCCCTCCCCGGCCCTCCCTCCTCCTCTTCCTTCCTTCATGGTTCTGGGATGGACCCGGGATTTCAGAAACACTCTACTACTGAAGGACACCCCAGCCCTCCTTGTTAATTCTTTAAAGGGGTATGACTTGGTCCTGTGGTGAGGTGGGAGCCAGGAAATAACTACAAAGAAACATTGACCCTTCACTCCATGGAGCTCACAGCCTAGATGGCTGTAGGGTTTTTAAATAAGATTAGAACACAATGGAAGCACAATGCAAGGCCTTCATCTTGGGGTGCAGGGAGGAATTCTGGGAAAAGACAGATGTTCAAACTTAAACCAGGGCTGGAGGTGGTGTGTGCACCTGTGGTTGCAGCTCCTGGGGAAGGGGTTTAGGGGAGGTAGGAGCATTGCTTGAGTCCAGGAGTTCAAGATCTGAGAAACATAGTGAGGCCCCATCCCCCTCCAGAATAATATAAAATAAAAATAATAAATCACATAAATAGAATCTTAGAATAGGGCTTCTCAACCACAGTCCTCCTAAGTTTGATGCTGACTTTCGGTCATACATTCAGGTTGCCTCCACATGATCCCATCATCCTGAGTTTTAACCAGTTCCCAACAAGAACCTAATCGCGGAATCTCATCCAAGTATCACTCCAAAAAGTCCACATCTCATCAGGTACATGCTCTAAGTCAGCTATGAATGGGACTCGAGGTGTGATCCCTCCATCTGTGACTGTGAAACCAGAAAACAGGTTGTATGCTCCCAAAATATAGAGGTGGACCAGACACAAGTGACATTCCTATCTCAAAGGTGGGAAATTGGAGGGAACAAAGAGGTCATAGGTCAAGGCCAAATTCAAAGCCCAGCCAGGCAATTCTGGGATTTCCAGGCCTGATGATAGTCGCTCTGGCTTGAGGCCTGTCCTCTGGCGCTTGGTTTGACTGTTTCACTGGAGTTTCCTCAGATAAGTGAGGAGGGTTGAGCTGCTGGCTGGGCACACAGCCTGGGTAATAGTGAACCTGGTGATGGGATCAACATCCAGAGGATGGATGAGGCTGCCCCCTGAGCAAAGCTCTGAGGGAGTTGAGAAGAAGGTCTTTAACCTGTGGAAGCCTCCAGCCTGATACAGGAGACCAAGGAGGAGGCTGGGCTGTGGTCACCAGAGCCCTAGAGGGTGGCAGCAAGACAGGGATTGGGTGAGTGCACGTGTTGACTGGATYCCCACTGTGTGGAGGCCACCTCTAATTCTTGCTCAGTTAGTCCCTGGTGTGGTGGGAAGTAACAGGAGGTGAAGAAATGGGTGCAGAAGTGCGATAGCCTACTATGGAGAGTAAAAATTAAAAAGTATCCAGGGGGAAAAGTGGGGTGTTATGGCTCAATTGTGTCCCCAAAAGAAGATCCATTGAAGTCATAGCCTCCAGCACCTGGGCATGTGACCTTACTTGTAAACAGGACCTCTGCAGATGTATTCAAGAGAAGATGAGGTCATGAGGGTGGACCCTGATGCAGTGTGACAAGTGTCCTTGTAAGGAGAGAGAGATGCCAGGTGAAGGTACAGGAGAAGGCTATGTGAGGATGAGGTGGACACCGGAGGGCGCTTGTGTACGCCAGGGAATACCAAGGTGCACAGCTGCCACCAGAGGAGGAGGAGGCAAGCATTTCAGGGGGTGTGGCCCTGCTGCCTCCTGGATTGGGACTTTAGCTTCCACAACTGTGAGAGAAGACATTTTGGTGTGTTTTTTAGAAAATATTTTTTTAGTTATACTTGGCCACAATATCTTTATTTTGTTTATTTTTATGTGGTGCTAAGGATGGAACCCAGTGTGCCTCACATGTGCGAGGCAAGTGCTCTGCCATAGAGCCACTACCCCAGCCTCATTTTGGTAGCTGTAAGCCACTCAACTTGTGGTATTTTGTTACTGTGATGACACTAATATAGGGAATGGCCATGGCACAGGTTTACACAGTGAGGGGGAAGGTCCCATCAGGAGGGACAGGTGGGGTGCAGGAGATGAGGGCTGCCCGGAGCTGTCTGCTCATCCTTTGCAGGCCAGAGGGAGGGCTGGTGTCCATGTGAAGGTGAGTAGAAGGGCGGCCCTCCTCAGCCAGAGTTACAGGGTGGTGGTGGTTTATCATTCCCCTTCCTGGGCGCCCTGGGGGCAGGATTAGCCCCTCAGAGCAGAGGATGGCATAGGGACATGGCCAGGCCCTGACCCTCATGCCTCAGCTATTCTCCCCCAGCTCTGCCTGCTCAGGATCCTGCCTGGCTCCAGGAAGAGGAAGATGCTATGGCTCCTGGGTGGCTGACCACCTGTTCCCAGGTGAGTAAGAAAGTCTTTCTTCAAACGAACACTGTGGTGCTGGAGAAGGACTTGCCCCCTTCATGGACCTCCTGGGCCTTCTCTACCCCACAGCCATCAGGAGCCAGGCTTTTGCCCTGGGTAGGGGGCAGCCCAGGAAACAGTTCCACACCCTCATTTAGACCCTCCACAGGCTGCTGAGCACCAGGAGGGAAAAGCCAGAGCTGTCCTTGCTTCACGACCTTTGTGGTCTCAGTGGACATAGGGTTTAGTCATTTATAAGATATTTCTCTCTGGCCTGCAACATGCTCAGGTCTTCTGGGCCCCTGGAGCTGGGAGAGGGTAAATCTGCAAGGCTTTTTGGCTGGTCATGGAGAGAGGCATCCTTTCATGAAGTAGAGGTCTTTGGCAAGGGGCATAACCTCATGCTGCTGTTAGTTATGGAGTGGCGAGTAGATACACAAGAGTTTTAAGTCTCTCTGTGTCTTTTTCTCTCTCTCTCTGTCCCTCCCTCCCTCTCTCTTACTCTCTTATTTTTGCTTTTGGGGCTGAGGCTGGAACCCAGGGCCTTGTGCATGCTAAGTACATGGTGTGCCCCTAAGCTGCACTCTACCCCCTCAGAGTTCTAATTTTGAGGCCTGAGCTGAGAGGCAGATACTGGAGACCTCAGAGCCCGATCTGAAGACCCTATGGTTGATGTCTCCCATTCCCAGGCCTACCAGCCCCACCATCCTGTTGAGACTGGGTGGGAGAGAGGGGTTATTCCTGGCTGAGCTAGAATGGGTGTGTGTTTTAGGAACCAGTGACTTTTGCGGATGTAGCAGTCGTGTTCACTGCAGAAGAGTGGGTTTTCCTGGACTCTGCTCAGAGAAGCTTGTACAGAGATGTGATGCTGGAAAACTATAGGAACCTGGCCTTCTTGGGTAAGTCTGGCTTTGTTGCCTCCTCACACAGCCACCATGGGTTCTAGAAACTGTGTTTGGGAGATCAGGAGGCAAATAGGCCAGGCCATCCTCATGATGCTTCCAGTGGCCTCCCCATGGAAGTGAATGTCTGTTCTCTTCTTGTCTCTCCATGATCAAAAGATTCCAGGATTTTAAAATATCTCTGAGCCAGGCCCTGGGTTGTGTGGACCAGGGAGCTCTGGTGTCCTATGTCCCAGTGTGGAGGGTTAAATTTAACTCCTTAGTGGAAGAACTTTGCTGTGTCCCTCAGGATTCAGGCATGAATCTCTAGAACATTAAGGACTTTGGGATGTCAGTCCTGGGGTCACAGCAGGGCTTGATCATCCCACACTGGGCATCTTCTTTCCCGCAAGCAGGAGATGAACTAGGAAAACCCAGTATGTTGTCCCCCTGGGAGCVAAGAGAGGAGCTGTGGAGCCGTGAGAGAGGAGTCTTCCCAGTGACCTGTTTAGGTGAGTTCAGGCAGACCTGGTGGGCACCAGCTGTAGGAGGAAAAAGGGGCGTAAGAGTTGGAAATTGTCAACAGGGGACATTCTCAGTGCCTTGAATGAGAGGGATGTTAGGTTGAGCTCCTTTAGAAAATCAACCTTTCCTCTTTATCTTTAATACTTTCCTCTGATTTGATAGAAATATTTGTCCTTCCTCCTCTTCATATTTACTGTTTTTATGCATGTATTTTATCCATACCTCCCACTGTACATTCTTGCTAATATTTCCCTTCAATGTCACTCCCAGTCTTCATGGAATCTTTTCTCAGCAAATTGTCTATGATTCTTATCCCTTGTTCTGTGATTACATAACTCTGCACATAGTCAAATGACTTCAGTAATTTTTCTTGGCTCTCTGATACATTCTTCCTCTTTGCAATAGCCTTCCTATGT